CCTCATTTCACCCCCCTTACCCTTGTCCGTGCTCCCCTCCAGCCCCCCCCCAGGGCCAGGAGTGGGGCAGTGGCTCCGGGAGGGGAGATGCAGATGGGTAAGGAGGCCAAGGTTTCGGCCACAGCTCGGGCACGGGGCCAGCAGCAAGGGCAACAGCTGGGGCGCAGGGCCGGCAGCCAGGCTGGGTGGCTCTCCCTCCCCGCCCCCGCATGGGGGCTGGCCCGGGCCCCAGCTGCGCCCTCCCGAACGTTCCTTGGTGCCCCACAGATTGGGGACCTCTGGGTTAGATAAATGTGGGGGAGGGGAGGTCATTTAACCGACCTTGCTGCAAGGCAAGACTTTATAAAAAAGGCCTCAAGCTTGTCACCAGGGTCAGAGATGGTCTGTCAGCAGGTCCCAGCAGGGACTGTCAAGAAATTACATATGGGCCAGACCAAGATTCACCAACGCCAATAGGAGTCTCTTAACCTCAAAGGATTTGGATCAGCCCCATACGTTGCTAACCCCCTCCATTTGGTGGGGGCAGCCCCCCCAGGATCTGCAGCGACGGGGGGAGGAGATGTGCTCTGAGGACCAACCGGGCTGTGAAGCAGCCAAATGGAAGGGTGAGATGATGATTGTCAGTTCTCAACCCTCCTTCCCCCCCACATCCCCAGAAGGAAAACCTCTACAGGCGCAAGAACAACCAAAGGGAACAAGTAAACGAGCCGGCCATAGGGCAGTTCCCCACCTGGGACATTAGGGTGTCACATGCCGATGCTAAGCCAGAGCCAACTGAGATGCCGGTAACATTGATAACCTGGAGATGAGAGCACAAAGAGACAAAGCAACCCATCAGGGAAGGAGGAAGCTCAGGCTGCCAGGCAGGCTCAGAAAAACAGCAGCTGGATTTTTTCCCCCAACTGGATGGAGGTGCAGTGGTGGTTTCAGGGCCTATTTTTTTAGGCTTCCAAACTTGGGTCTAGATAATAGCATATCCTCTTGTTACCAAGGAGAAGCACCACATTTAGTGGAAGGGCTATCTTTAGTTGCAAATCAACACGTTTAATGGTTACTAACTAATGAGAATAAGCCTTTCTTTCAAAAATGAACTAAAAAAGTACAATGCAAAACAAGATTGAAATAGATCGTTTTAACCGAGGTTTCCTGCTTGCGGATTTAAATCCGGATTACAACTGGTGATTTGAATCACTGTGATCCATCCATCTCACAACTGAAATGTGTAAGGGAAAACAGGATAATACGTACGGATACAGCAAGCGTCACAGCATCTAGCTCAGCTTTCCCCAGATGGCCACAGAATATGGAGCTGACCACGCTGATCAGGAAGATCAACAACTGGGATAGGAACTGGGGTGGAAAGAAAGGAAGTATAAAAACGAGAAGGAAGCCAGTCAGACATGGGGTTAGGCTGGAACAGCAGGGAGGGTATTTCATAAACTGATGCATTCAAATGAAATACTTTAGAATTAATCCCAGAATAAAGTCCGTTTGATTTTGTCTGTGTGTTAGTGTTACAGTAATACTTAAACCCAGTTTGACGTGTTTGCATGTGTGTCTATACATTACAGTAATACTTAGGCTGTCTTCCTACTGTACTGAGACACAAGCCCTTGTCAGAGGCCTGGTATGAAGCCTAAGGCCTGAACTAAAGTAGTGGTCAAGCTTTAGGCCTCATACCAGGCCTCTGATACAAGAGCTTATGATTCAGGCTCTCTTCCTACTACACTTAGAAGCCCCAATGGAGACCACAGCTCCACTGTCCTAGGCTCTGCATACACCTTGTAAGAGAGAGTTCCTGACCTAAAGAGCTTACAGTCTGGCAAGACACAGCGACAATTGCAACGGAAGACCCGTCAGGTGCTGCAAGATTTTTAAACCTTACTGTTGCCTGCCCTCCCCCCAGTGGACAGCGTGGATGTTCTAGTCCAGTGGTTCTCAAGCAGGGGTAAGTGGAGGTCTTCCCGGTGGTACATCAACTCATCTAGATATTTGCCTAGTTTTACAACAGACTAACACAAAAAGCACGAGCAAAGTCAGTGCAAACTAAAATTTCATACAGACAATGACTTGTTTATACTGTTCTATATACTGTACACTGAAATGTAAGTAAAATATTAATATTTCAATTGATTTATGCTACAATTATATGGTAAAAATTAGAAAGTAAGCAATTTTTCAGTAAGTGTGCTGTGACACTTGTGTATATTTATGTCTGATTTTGTAAGCAAGTGAGGTGAAATTTAAGGGTACACAAGACAAATCAGACTCTTGAAAGGGATAAAATAGTCTGGAAAGGTTGGGAACCACTGTTCTAGTCTATCGCCTAGCAGATCTCTCTTCTCTGGGGTTTAAACTCTAAGCTTTTGTTCCAGGAGGTAAATGTATCTACAGAGGAAAGGGCAAAACAGGCAAAAAGATTGCACCAAGTGTTTAAACTTCCCTTATAACTACTCATGAGACTAGTAACTACTACCTAACCACCATATTGTCCACCCCACGGCTGGAGGGGGCAGCAATACCCTAGTTCTTGGTCTGGAGAGCATGTGATAGGGCTGAAAGATGGAGGACTGTCGCCACACCATTGGCGCCCACTCTCCCCTAGCCCACTGGAAGTCCCTCTGTGGATGCCCAGTGGGGTACAGAATCCAGGCAGAGAGACAGGGCTGAGAGGAAGGGGAAGATTATGACAGGATTATACTCCTGGGCCTTTGTTCGTAAATCTGCAATTTGGAAGCCACCAACCTCCCTTTACCCCATGGGGAGCCTCTGGCAACACAGTACCTGCAAGAGCCAGATCTAGTACAGAAGTACAAGGGCTGTTTCTCTGTGAATCTCCCATAATCCACTTGTTTAGGAGGGGGACTTCTCAGCTAGCTCCCCCAAGGATGAAACCCC